TTTTAAGCCCACTGTTGAGATCCACTGCTTGGGAAAAAAAATAAAAAGATTCCTTTCAAAATATTACTGTTAGGCCAGGCGCAGTGGCTCAAGCCTGTAATCCCAGCACTTTGGGAGGCCAAGGCGGGTGGATCATGAGGTCAAGAGATCAAGACCATCCTGGTCAACATGGTGAAATCCCGTCTCTACTAAAAATACAAAAAATTAGCTGGACATGGTGGCATGTGCCTGTAATCCGAGCTACTCAGGAGGCTGAGGCAGGAGAATTGCCTGAACCTGGGAGGCAGAGGTTGCAGTGGGCTGAGATCATGCCATTGCACTCCAGCCTGGGTAACAAGAGCAAAACTCCATCTCAAAAAAAAAAAATTACTGTTAATTGACAATGCACTTGGTCACCCAAGAGCTCTGATGGAGATGTACAAAGAGATAAATGTTGTTTTCATGCTTGCTAACACAACATCCATTCTAGCCCATGGATCAAGAAGTCATTTCTTCTTTCTAGTGTTAAGATTTAAAAAATATAATTTGCAAGGCGATAGCTGCCATAGATAGTGATTCCTCTGATAGATTTGAGTGAAGTAAATTGAAAAGCTTCTGGAAGGGATTGATTATGCTAGATGCTATTAAGAACATTTGTGATACATGAAAGGAGGTCAAAATAGTAACTTTAACAGGAGTTTAGAAGAAACTGATTCCAACCCTCATGAATGACTTTGAGGGGTTCAAGATTTCAGTGAAGGAAGTAATCGCAGACTTGAAAGTAGAAATGACTCCTTGACCTGTGGGCTAGAATGGACGTTATGTTAGCAAGCATGAAAACAACATTCATCTCCTTGTACATCTCCATCAGAGCTCTTGGGTGACCAAGAGCATTGTCAATTAGCAGGAAAATAGCAAGAGAACTAGAATTAGAAGTGGAGCCTGAAGATATGACTGAATTGCTACAATGTCATAATAAGACTTGAAAATCAGGAGTTGCTTTTTGTGGATGAGCAAAGAAAGTGGTTTCTTAAGATGGAAATTACTCTGGATGAAGATGCTGTGAACATTGTTGAAATGACAACAAAGGACTTAGAATAGTCTATAAACTTAGTTAATGAAGCAACAGCAGGGTTTAAGAGGATTGACTTCAATATTGAAAGAAGTTCTATTGTGGACAGAAGGCTACAGAACAGCATCACATGCTACAGAAAAATCTTTAATAAAGGAAGAGTCCTAATTGATGTGGCAAACTTCATTGTTGTGTTATTTTGAGAAATTGCCACAACCACCCCAGTCTTCAGCAGCCAGCACACTGATCAGTCAGAAGCCATCAACATCAAGGCAAGCCCCTCCACCAGCAAAAAGATTATGATTCACTGAGGGATCAGTTGATCATCAGCATTTTTTAGCAATAAAATATTTTTTAATTAAAGTAGGTACACTGGGTTTTTTTAAACATAATGTTACTGCACACTTAATAGGCTACAGTGTATTGTAAACATAACTTTTATATGCACTAGGAAACCAAAAAATTCATGGGACTTTATTACAATATCTGCTTTATTACAGTGGTCCAGGACTGGACTCACAATGGATGGGGTTTTGTTTATAGAAAAATAAAGTACTCTGATCATCAGGAGACTTTCAGGTTTAAAAAGTGACACATTATACATTTCAGATTTAAAAAGTGACACATTATACATTTTAGGGAATAGCACATAATTTAATTAAGTCTCATTAATTTGATAAATTGGATTGAGCTAGTTCATAGTTTATCCCGGTTGTATACAATCTCTGTTGAAATTTAGGATGTATTTGATCACTTGTGATAAATAACTTTCTTCTTACCTATAGAAACATAAAGCAAACGGCACATATAGTAAAACTCAGAAAGGTGGATTTGTTTTTTATTGCCTCATTGATTTTACTAAAACTTGTTTCAAAAAAAGCCCTTTGTTCTCATGATATTTTTAAACTGTGAGTCCAAAGGACCAAAGGTATTAATAATACACTATGTTATATAATATACAAAATAATACAATAATCATAAAACCTCACACATGTATAATGCTTCATGAAATCCAAATGTTTTCATATACATCATCTTGAGTCCCCTAACAATCTTTTGTTACAGTTGATAAAGCAACAGAGGACCAAGGAGCCTGACATTCTCAAGGTCACATCAATAGTAGATTTAGAAGAGAAAACCAAAATCTGGGCCTCCCCCATCCAGTCCACTAGTATTTCTATCCCATCATGCTGTACATTGAATTCCTATGTTGAGTAATGTGATGGTTAATATTGAGGGTCAACTTGATTAGATTGAAGGATGCAAAGTATCATTCCTGGGTGTGTCTGTGAAGGTGTTGCCAAAGGAAATTAACATTTGAGTCAGTGGACTGGGAGAGGCTGACCCACCCTCAGTCTGAGCGGGCACCATCTAATCAGCGGCCAGCATGGCTAAAACAGAGCAGGCAGAAGAACGTGGAAGGACTACACTAGCAGAGTCTTCTGGTCTTCATCATTCTCCTGTGCTGGATACTTTCCACCCTGGACTCCATCAGACTCCAACTTCTTCAGCTTTTGGACTCTCGGACTTACACCAGTGTTTGCCAGGGGCTCTAGGGCCTTCAGCCACAGACTGAAAGCTGCTGTCAGCTTCCCTACTTTTGAGGTTTTGGGGACTTAGACTGGCTTCCTTGCTCCTCAGCTTGCAGACAGCCTACTGTGGGACTTCACCTTGTGATCATGTGTCAATTCTCCTTAATAAACTACCTTTCATATATATATATGATATATATCATATATGTATACTATTAATTCTCTTCCCCTAGGGAACCCTGAATAATACAAACAAGATAGAATAGATGACATTTTAAGAGTATATTATTTTACAACTCAATTTCGTAAGGTGCCTGATTCACATTTCTCATATTCTTTATGATTTGTAGGTACTTGTATTCTTATCCATGTATTATACTAAGAAAATTTAGATAACACAAAAAAAAAAGTAGAAAGGAAATTTCAAAACTTCCTCCCGTTGCGTTTATTCAAAGTTTGGTAGTTGAACTTTCTTTTTTTGTTGTTTTTGTTTTTAACTCTTATTATAGAAAGCCATACCAAAGTTAAGTTCTTCATCCCATTTTCTAAAATCACATTTTAGTCTTGGGGAGAAAGAGAAAAAATGGGAATGAGAATATACTGATATTTTAAGGACAAGAAATATCAGTTGAAAGTCTTGTCTTTGTCCATTTGAACTCTCCTCCATTTCTATCCCTTTTACCAAGCAAAGCACCCAAAATCAGCCTAGACTCACTTGTGCAAGATTCGACTTTAGGCCTGAACTCATCTCTGCCTCCATGTGGGTGTAGTAAGTCTCCAAGTCTCCAAAAGATCCAGCTGAATCAGCATTTATACTCTTACGTAACATCTATTCTGAGAGTGAAGTTCATGGAGTCGAATAACCTTCTAAATGAACTGAAACACAGGCCTCAGGTTTTTAACAAATATGTGTACAAACTAACCAAAAGATTCAGCATATGGGCAACCGAGAATTTGTCCATTGCAATTATAATTGCAATTCATAATATGCCCAGTCTCCCTCCGCAGGTTGCAAATGCTTATTACACCATTATGCAGCAAGTGTGGGCCTCAACCGTGGAAAACGTTTTTGGAAGAATGTATTTGGAATTTAATATCTTTTTAAAAGTTGGTAGAATGGGCCAGGCATGGTGGCTCAGGCCTGTAATCCCAGCACTTTGGGAGCCCAAGGCAGGCGAATCACGAGGTCAGGAGATCGAGACTATCCTGGCCAACATGGTGAAACCCTGTCTCTACTAAACATACAAAAGTTAGCCTGGAGTGGTGGTGCGTCTGTAATCCCAGCTACTCAGGAGGCTGAGGCAAGATAATCACTTGAATCCAGGAGGTGGAGGTTTCAGTGAGCCGAGATTGTGCCACTGCACTCCAGCCAGGCAACGGAGCAAAACTCTATCTTAATAAAAAAAAGAAATGAAAAAAAGAGTTGGCAGAATGAATTTATCATAGTGGTGAAACCATAAACACTTTTTGGGTTTCATGGCCACAGATAGTATATGTACCATATACACAATGTCTTACTCAAATATTCAAAAAAATATTTATTGAATGAACACATATAAATGAATAAGTGAGTGAGTTTTGTAAAATAATCTGGGAGTGAAAATGTGGCCAGAGGAACCCAAGTGCTGCTCCAGGGACCAGATCAACCCATCCAATCTTCCCTTGTGCTTAGTGGAGATCAGGAATCATCCGACCATCCACGTTCCTCTTTGGTTTGTAACAAGAACCACAGTCCTCTTTGACGTAGTGCAGGAACAAATGAGAAGCAGATGAGGAGGAAAACCCTAGAGCCTAGCATTCATTTTTAACCTGATCTCCTGGCTTCCAGTATTTTGGCTCATTAAACAGGAAAACAAAATTAAGTGTTTATAATTTTCGAAATACTTTGCATTTTCACTCATTCCAGATACAAAGAACTTTAAAGGCAAAATCACAAGAGGGTATGTGGTAAACCAGGCCTAGTTACCAAAAGAGGTCACATAAAAATTAAAAAGCACTGAAGAATAAATAGCAGTCCATATTGTCCAGGGGGATGAGCTACGCAGCCTAAGTAAAAATTAAAACCAAATTACAGGCACTAATTAGTGTTGTATAACAAACCGATTCATTTGCATACAATGCAATTATCCCGATAGGTGCTGGATTCAACACATCCAGCTGGGTTAGTGCATCTCCAGGGAACAACCCATTCGGCTTTTTCCCTGTGTTGGCTGGGTTCGCTTATGACTATGATGGCAAATAAACAATCATTCCCAGCACCTTTAGACTGAACATTAGAAATAAAAGCAATATAGATTGTGCATGGGGCACATTCAGGCCCTCTCAGATGAAAACTAACAGGCTGATTCTGGGTCAGTACTCGATTTCTAGAACATTCTATCTGAGCTTATGTTTTTGAAAACCACATTCATTTTATGCTATATAAAGAATTCTTCTTTGTCTTCTTTTTCTTCACCCTGAACATGCAGATGAAGAAGACATTTTGAAACTGTCTTCCTGGTACCAAGGTCCCTTTGGCCAGCAAGCGGCAAAGGACAGACTCTTTCCTTAAGGACACTGCTGTTTTTGGAGGTGGACACTCCTAAGGAAGAGGCTGGCAAGCAGAATGGGGGCTGGCTGGTCTGCAAATCCCTTGGAAATCCACCAACATAAGTCTGCCTGGGTTCAGAATTTATGATAGTGAACCCCGTGTCAACATTCGTCTCTGCCTCAAGCTTCTGAAAGCTGTTTTCCCGGTTGAGGACCTTCTTTCTCGCCCTGGATTCAAGGTGATGAGAAGACAGGGGCAGGTAGGCACCTGTGGCTGGGCTGCTGGCCTGGAACGACCGGCCAGGGCTTTTCCACGAAGCGCCACCACAGCTGTCTGACATGGGGCTCCCACCAGGCTCAGGAAGCTCCAGAGAATGCCCCTGGAACCTCCTGACCTGGCTCCTCTGGCTTCTGGGTTCTAAGGTCCTGTTTGTAGAAACAGAAGTCAGCCTCGAGCCCAGGGGAAGCATGCCAGCTCCTGAGGTACCACTTTTAACAGCAAGTTCTGGATTCAGCTGGACCTGTGGGGAGGAACATATGAAACATATTTTCCATTAACTAAGTGCCAAAAAGCAGACTACGCCTCATTCACCCTCTACCAAGTCATGCCCATAGCTGACATTCAGTAAATGTGAATAGAAGTGATAAGTACAATATAATTATGAGGTGTATAATCAGCACCAGCTGCAAATCTCTCTCTCTGGGACTCCCTGACTCAAGTTCTTGACAAGGGTAAGACTTGGGGAATCAAATAGCCATTGACAACACCACACTTCTGGTAGAGCAAGTTGTCCAAACAATGCAGATGTTCACAGATGTCATTCAGTGACCTCACTTGATGTTGTAAATGATGTATTTATTATCAATCATGCAAAAAAAAATTTTTAAGTCACCAAAACATGTGGTTAAGGATTGAAGTAAGAATTTAATCTTCTAAAGCTGGCGATCCTTCTTTTAGATCATGCTAATAAAAATACGTATCTTGGGCCATTCTAAGACATGTGACCACTCCAGCCAGGTTCATAATTTGGCAGCAATATTCTTTAAATTCTTGAAGCACCATTTATTTAGATTAGAAGCCTGCTATTGTGTGAGGGGCACTCTTATATGGAAGTTTAAGTGTTTTAATCCTTAATAATTCCACTCCGGTTCCAAACTTACAGACTGTGGGAAATAGAAAAGTTCCTCTTTCAAGTTTCCTTTCTTGTTAAAGAATAAATTTGCTAATAACTCTTTGTTAAGCCCTATCCTATGTAGCTGTTAAACATGCCATGCTTACAGGCACGTAGTATATTCTATTTCCTTGTACTTTAATCAAGATATCTGTGCTGGACATGCTCATAGGCACGTCCCAGCTCTCCACTGCTTTTACCCGTTTAGAAAAGTTTTAAGTTGTTAGCCAATCGGGTTTTAGTTAAGATTGTGAGGTCTGGCTCCAGCCAACAGAGATCAGACACAGTAGTAAGGACAACCCCAAATGGATAAGGGATAAATATGTTTGCTCTTCCTTTGTTCATTGTACTCTCTAGGCAAGGTGACTAGCAAGAATACCCTTCCTGCAGTCCAGGAAGTAAAACTTGCTTGCTAAAAGATCCTTTGTCTGAGTGCTGATTTTTCTTTGCAGCACCATGCATCTGTTTCCAACACAGATTCCACTCAGGAAAACCCTCACCCTGCACTTGACTGTGCTCTTCCTCCATAGAATGGAGTTCACCGACCCTCCTTTAAGACTTGGACCCTTGGGAGCCTTCCTATCCCATGCACAATACTCTTCCCAAGAAGATTTCTAGAGAAAGGCAATTTCTTCCATCTTGACAATAGCCCTTGGAAAACAGTATCCAGGATCCATCCCTACCTGACCCAGCCATTAATCAAATATCAAGAAGAATGATATGGAAGAACTTGAAATAAATATTACTAACTTAAAGAAGTCTGTCTGGGCTCCTGCCTGTAATCCTAGTCCTTTGGGAAGGTGAGGTAGGAGGATTACTTGAGGCCTGGAATTCAAGACCATTGGGCAACTATCAAGACCCCGTCTTTACAAAAAATTAAAACATTAGCCAGGCACGGCGTGCACGTTTGCAGTCCCAGCTATTCAGAAGGCAAAAGAGGGCGGATCCCTTGAGCCCAGGAGTTCGAGGTTAAATCGAGTTATCACTGCACTTCTGCACTCCAGTCTGAGTGACAGAGAGACTATATGATTCCAACTATATGACACTTTGGAAAAGGCAAAACTATGAAGACAGTAAAAAGATCAGTGGTTGCCAGGGGTTTGGGGGAAGGGAAGAATGAATAGGTGGAGCACGGAGGAATTTTAGGGCAGTGAAACTACCCGCATGATACTGTAATGGTGGATGCACAGCCTTATACATTTGTCCAAATCCACGGAATGTACAACACCGAGAATGAACCCTAATGTACCCTGTGGGCTTTGGGTGACGGTGATGTGTCATTGTGGGTTCATCAGTTGTAACACGTCGACCACTCTGATAACAGATGTTGACAGTAAAGGAGGCTCTCTGGGTGGGGCAGGGGGACGTGGTATATGGGAACTCTCTATTCTTTCTGCTTCATTCTGCTGTGAACTTACCACTGCTGTAAAAACTGTCTATTTAAAGGGAGAAAAAATAATGATACATATTTATCTCACAAGGCAAATAAGGGCAATGAGAAAACAGGTCTTGAAATGAGTCAGTTCTCTCTCTCTCTCTCTCTCTCTCTCACACACACACACACACACACATACACACACACGGAGAGAGAGAGAGAGAGAGAGAGAGAGAGAGAGAGAGAGAGAGAGAGAGAGAATTTGTTTGTATAGATGATGCACATGTACATTTTCTCAATTTTCTGATAGAAATGGTGAGGTGCCTATTACCAAACTGCAAAAACACACAAAGAAACAAGGACTTCCACTGATTCTTTTAGAATAGAAGTTGGCAAATATTTTCAGTGAGGAGCCAGACAGTAAATATCTGCCGCCCATATGGTCTTTATCCCAGCTACCCAGCTCTGCTGCAGAGCAGCCATCGACGACATATAAATGAAGGGCTGTGTTCAGTAAACTCTATGCATGAACACTGAAATTTGAATCTCATGTTTTTTATGTGTCATGAATTTTTTTCCAACCATATAAAAATAGAAAACTAGTTTTAGTTCCCGGGCCATAGTTGACCAACCCCTATTCTAGATCAATTATTCTCTCTCTCTGTCTCTCTCCATCTCGAGTTTTTTCCCTAAAAATTTCTTTCCTGAAAGCCCAAAATATGAAACAATCTAATTAAAGTATCCCTGGTTGAAATACAGAGGGGTAGCCCCTGCCAAATGAACCCCCTCTCTGGCTCCCCCGGGCTTTACAGAACCAGCTTGAAAACCACTATTCTAGAATATCTAAATTCTACCCTGGGGCCAAGCCTGTTCACTAGAGAGCTACACACACCTGAAACCCCCCTCCCAGATGTGCTTTCACTGAGCCACAGCTGAATGTGGTGCCCTAGACTGTGTTGAAGAGAGCTTCTGCCAACCTCAGAAACTCTCTCTAGGGTCGACACTGTTGAGGGGATGCCCGCTGCACCTCAGGACGGGCCCTTGTGCAAACCCATAGGAGAAATTTCTGTTCCCAAACTTTGAGGCACAAGGGAATGTCCTGGGATCATTTAAAAACAACGATGCCTGCTCCCACCCCACAACCTTCTGATTGCATCAGGTTAGAGTACACCTGGCTATCAGGGTTAACAAATCTCCCCAGGTAATTCTAATGTGTAACAAAGTTTGGGAACTACTGCCATGGACCCAAAAAAGCAAGACTTCGAGTAGTCAGTTACCTTGTGGTGGCTGTGAGTCTGTCTCTTATCACACACAGCCGACCTCCTCCTCCACATTTCTGATCAATCCTTTGCCTAATTTCATTTTACTCTCTCTCTCTACATTTCCCTTTGCTCCAATTCCACTCTCTCTTTCTCCCTCCCTCCCTCCCTCTCTTTCTTCCTTCTCTCCTTCCTTCCTCCTGCCCTTCCTTTTCTTTCTTTCTTTTTCATGTTTGCTTTCAGCAAAAACCTCTTATTATAAAAGTAGTAATTTATCACTATAAAAAGAATGTCATTGTACAAGTGTGTAAAATAAAAAGTAAAGCCTTCTCTCCACCCTCAATTCAAATCACCCCCAAATTCTCACTTTCCAATGAAAACTATTTGCTTATCCTCTCAAAATTAGGAGGAAAAATTACTATCTCCCAAATGTCATCTGGAGTTTCCCTTCCCCTGGAGAACAAACTCCCTCAGTCCTTCAAAGGGCCAACTGCCATCACTGCCTCTTGAAGAACCATTTGACACTGTGCCCTTGTATCAGAATGTACCCTTTTATTTGACCCAATGATGCCTTTTTCTTCTAGAAATGGAAACTAGCATGGATATTCTCATACTCAGAAAGGGTTCAGTGTTGATATTAGATTTTCCAATCTGGAGAAAGAAATCAATAACTTTGACTGAGCTTCTATTTCATTCTCTAGCAACTGTGAACAGAGAGAGAAGCCTGAGTCGTCTTTCCCTTTCAGATCACAATGAAATTGGTCATGAAGTCCCAACCAGTGCCAAGACATCTCAGGGCAGCCAGGAAGTGCTCTTCTGGGTCAACCCAGATAACCCCTCCACTCCCCTGTCACCCAGTCCCACAGCCCCTCCACAGGACCTTCTCCACCTGCAAATGTCCCATCTTTGAAAGATTCTATTGAAGCCGGGCATTCTGAGACCATTAGCTCCAGCATGCAATTCCCCATCACATCTGCTTTGCAACATCAACACTCCCATCCCCCAGCTTCTCCCTGTCAGCCCCTCCCATCCTCACTGCCTTTTGGAGCCCATTTGAGTCCAAAGATCATCACTTCAACCATTTCTTCACCAATACCTCCAACTCCCCTCACTATTCCCATTCTGTCACAGCCTCCCACAAAATCTCCCCACCTTTCATTCATCTACCTGCCAACATTTTCTGAACATGTGCCCAGAATGCCACAGCATGTGTCTGTGAAATGGGTGTCCCATGATGGCATGGTTTCCAGCCTCTCCCAGGCTACCTGCCAGTCCTCCTGTTTCCTTACTCACTTCTCTCCATTCACCCAGCAGCTGTTCAAACCTTTGACACTGTCCTGAAACCATCGCCTCCCACCCCATCAGGTGGTCTCACTATCTAGATTACCAAGGAAGCAGACCCTGCCACCAGTTAGCAACACTCTCATTGCTGCCGTGAAATTTACCTGACCGGTCCCTGTGCCAAGAATCCCATCACCTCCTGCCTTCTTGGTGACCCCGACCTATCAATTACTCATTTCCTCCCACTTTCTTATCTTGGATGTTTAATCTCTCCCCCTCTCTTTCTCTTTCTCTTTTTCTTTCTCTTTCTGTCTGCCTATTCCTTTCCAACAGCAATTAAACTTGTTTTAAGTCTCCTGTGTTGAAAAACACATTCTTTCCACCCTCTCTTTCCTTCCAGGTTTCTCTCTCCTCCCCTTCACAGTCAAACCTCT